CCCAGTGGGTGAATTCTTTCCATATTGAATACAAAATAAGTTTTATAACTTTGAATTTTGATTTTTACCTTGTGCATTATTATTAATCGTCTCATTATGTCTTGGGTTATTAAAGCAAACGGGGCAAACTTATGAGAAAATAAAAATATACATAACAAAATTCATAACAAATTATTCTAGTGCAATAAAAATTACAAACTTTTCATTTTATTTTGCATTTTATGATAAAATTGCATTACACTTCATTTAGAATCAAATCAAATACTTTTTCTCAAAATATGACACTAGACAAATCGTTGAGCCAGTCAGCACTCATTTTACTGAGTAATCGATGTTTAATAATTTTCATTGTGGAAAATGATATCTCAACTGCAACAGTAGCAACTAACAAAGTTAATGCCAAGAGAAAAAACCTATAAACTAAGGGATACAACATATTTCTTAATTTTAATAAATTATTTTAGAAGATCATCAATGCTACCAAAAGATGAAAACTCTTAGCTTGTATTTATATCAAGAATGCATTTAGATAACTAGTTGTCTCGGGGAGATCTTCCTTGAATCACCCGTGCGGCCTTAGCACTGCTTTGGTGCTAAGCAGTCGTAAACTTATACAATGCTTGGCTAGAAAGAGTGGAATTGTATGAGAAAGCTTTTACAATTACAAGTGAAGTTATATAAGAGGAGAATTGGAGGAGTGTAAGGAGATTATTATAAATGAAGGGGAGGGTTCTATTTATAGCTTTTTTCTCATGCCTAAGAACAATCTAGAACTCCCTCCATTATTCATAATTGTAGAGTTTCTAGAACACTCCACATTATTCCTTACACTCTTACATAACTCTATAACTTTCTAGATAGTAATAGAGCATCCTAGAATACTCTCTGAGTATCCACACTATTCTATAACATTATATAGTACTCTAGAACCTTTTAGGCCTTTAAGAACCTTTTGGAATCTTCAGGAATCTTTTAGAGCCTTCTAAAATATTTTAGAATCATATAGAATATTTTAAAACCTTCTAGAATCTTCCTGAACCATCCAATATCATATGATCCCATTTAGGAATTGTTCTAGAAGACCTCTTCGCCTATGTTAGACTTATCACACCCAAGGGATTTAGTCAAACTCCTAGTCCCAACATTTGGGCGTGACACTCCCTCAATTATTCACAATGCCCTCATCGCGAGCCTGCTTGACGCCATGATGAAGGTCCTTAGATTGCCACATGTCCATCATATTTCTCTGGCTCCGCTGGCCCTTGTCCTTCTCCCCTAAACTGGCTACCTTATTGTCTACTGGTGCATCTAGGACTTGGGATCTCCCATCTTGTATTGGCTCCTCCTTAGGTTTCCTCTCTAGCAGGATAATCGAAGGTACACCAAAGACTTTCATTATCCTTATTGGTAAGCCTTCAACTTGAGATTTTCACACCCAAGAGTTAGATAGTCATCCCTATCCCTTAGTATGACTTACAAGACTTGAAACTCCTTGCCCTTGGAGTTATCTCCCTCTTGTCCTTGCTCTTGCACCACTTTCATTACCTTCATATGTTTGAACTGATCACCATCCTTGCCATTTGTCACCTCTTGATACTTTGTGAGGTGTTTTAGGGCCATTTGAGGACAATGCCTCGTCAAATGAGGTCCTTAAATAAAGCAGACGATTTTCCTTTCCTTGCATTGACCCATTCGTCTCTCTGGTATTTTATAGCCCCCATGCCTTGATTTGATCCCTAAAAAATCCAAGGCTAGTGATGGAAGTCTTGTGTAAAACCCGAAAAATGCTAATTTTAAACCTTACATGCTTTTTGATGTGCAGCGAAAAGATTTAAGAAAAATTTTCAAAGTCTTCAAATTTTAACGAATTTAATTTTATTAAATTGTATATAAAATTTTGAGCAAAATAGTATAAAGAACCTATATGAAATTTTGATTTGTTTGGGAATTAAAAATTGGCGAAGTTTTTAAAACTTTCAAATAAGACTAATATACCCTTAGTGATATTAAGCAAAATGAGTCATGGAAGGGCATTTAGGATATTATGCCTTAACCATTATTTCCTCTTAAGGGGACCGAATGAATTCGATCTCCATTTTGTTCGTTCAGCCAAAACCGAATGTGAGAAGAGGCGGAGGCGGAAGGGAGGCGCACGGGCAAGGCTAAGATGGCGACCCTAAGGGCGGATTTCGGCGGCCGTTTGTGAAGCAGATCGAAGGGAAGTCGTAGGGAAGAGTAAGATGAGTTTTTATGAACAATTTCTCATGTTTTTCCTTAGGATTTTCTCAAGAAAGAAATCTAGATTTTAAGAGAAATTTTAAATTTCTTTAAGAGAATGATAGGATATGTTTATGAGATACTTTTATGCTTGGAAATTAGGTTTTTCTTCAAAATTATTGAGTTGAAGAAATTAGGATTTTTCCCTAAAGTTGAAAATTTTAAAAGCGCTTTTACAAATATGGTTCCTAAGGGTTATAAGAGGGTTTATAAAAGTATAAACTGAGTTTTTCTCACAAAATAATATTTTCCTAATTTTTAATTAATTTAAATCCGAAAAATAGAAATTAGTTTAAATAATTTTATATTAGGGTGAACGGTTAATTTAGTTAAAAAATATAATTAGACTAAATTATGAATTTTTATAATATATTCATGCTTTATGTGATCAATTAGAGAGAGAGAGAAACAACTTAGGGTAATTTAGAAGAGAATGAGAACTTTAATTAATATTTATTATGAAGATTTTGAAGGATAAATTTATATTAATATATCAGATTATCATTTAAACTTTAAATTAGAATACATATAATAATAAAAAATAATTAAAGTTTAATACCAATACATATTTAAGTACATTTTTTATCAATGAATAAATGTATAAACGCAATCTAAAAATGCCGATTTTATCCGTAGCATAAAACTTGCGAGCCAAGAATGTACGTGTATAAAATCTCAACCCTTCATTTCATTATAATCTAACGGTTCTTATCATACCATTTCAGAATCCGCGTGAAAAACTTCAGCCAATCAAAACTAATTCCTGTTCTATATAGCCATTCCCGTGCATTTCTTTTCCTCACAACCACCGATTTTTTTTCTTTGTTCAAAGCCCTAAGCTCGATCCGTTTATCAATGGCACCGAAGGCCGAAAAGAAGCCGGCGGAGAAGAAGCCTGCCGCCGAGAAGAAACCGGCAACGGAGGAGAAGAAGCCAGTAGCGGAGAAAGCTCCGGCCGAGAAGAAGCCCAAGGCAGAGAAACGAATTCCTCCCAAGGATGCCGGCGAGAAGAAAAAGAAGAAGAAGGCGAAGAAGTCAACTGAGACTTACAAGATCTACATCTTTAAGGTATTGAAACAGGTGCACCCTGATATCGGGATCTCAAGCAAGGCGATGAGCATAATGAATTCGTTCATCAACGACATCTTTGAGAAGCTTGCGCAGGAGTCATCTCGCCTTGCTCGTTACACTAAGAAGCCAACCATCACCTCCCGCGAGATCCAGACTTCTGTCCGTCTAGTTCTTCCCGGGGAGCTTGCCAAGCATGCGGTTTCTGAGGGCACTAAGGCGGTAACAAAGTTCACCAGTTCTTAGTTTTAGGGCTAGGGGTACATGGCCTTCTGTATTTTACCGTCCTCGTTTGATCGCAAAGTTTTTTGCCTTATTGTGTGTTTAATCTATTTTACTTTGTTAGGTTTGCTATCTTGATTATGTTTATAGATCGATCCAGCCTCACAAATTGTCTACCTTAGTGGAATGAATTTGTATTGTTTATCAATCATTTGTTCTTTACTTACGCAAATGAAAAATGTATCCTTCTTGATTGATTGAAACAATTTGGGCCTGTAACAGTATGCTACTATCAATCCATATGTATCCACTCAAATGAATGCCACAAATTTATAAAAACATTTGGAACTTTGCGTTCTATTTAAGCAGTCTGGTTATTCCCAAGATCAATAGAGGGAAAAGAGCATTAAAACGTGTAATCCATTAACCTCTGAATCAATATATATGTAAGCTTAGCTTTGCTTGAACATTAAAATAAGGCAAAGTCTCTTGACCTTTTATACATGTTTAGAATCCAGGTGCTTTAAAGATGACCTCTGCTCAGTGGTTTTAATTGGTGTAATGTAAGTTTATGGGGCTGTTTAGCTGCAAATGAATCAGACCCAAAGATGATATTTTTAGGAAATTTAAGGTAAAGTGCTCTTTGTATGATCTGCACACATGCAATTGAAAAACATACTGATATTTATATTAAAATACTGAGATTGATGATGCATTCCCAGCCATGCGGGGCTTCACGCTTCACCGGATACTGTGAACTCCAGTTCTCATATGTTGTTAGTTTGCGAATCGTTTCAAATGTTACGAGGGATGTTACGAGGGTTGCACGACGATCCTGGGATGTATTTTGCTATGTGTTTTTGTGAATGAATGTGACCTGCAGTGGTTGCTGAGATGCTCTCCCTTGTGATATTTAGTATTCCATGCCGGCCGTCGCATAATATGCCTTCCCCACCAATTAGCTATTGGGATGTTTTTGCTGAACTCTAAAATGGGGTCCCGTGTGAGCTCCAGCTTAACGGCTAAATTTTGTCTATTTGGTTGCTGAAGAAATGCACGAAAGATAAGAAAGATGTTACCTTGGTTGAAGGGTGTAAAATGGAGTTTGATTGGATAGAAGCACACTCGCTCCGCTAGGGTTTCCTCTTTGCGACACTCCTGGCCGCCTCCTCTTCATCCTCTCTGGGGAGGACTTCCTTTGGGATGTCCTCCTCCACCCTTCCTCCCGTTTCTCTTCCTTCACCTCAGCTCCCGCGTGATTGGAAGAGTCTCTTTGCTGCCCAACTTTTGGTTTCGAATGATTTCACCTCCTCGATATCCCATTTTCCCACTGAAAATGCCACAGCCCATTTCACTGCAACTCAGTTCTCTGCTGGTGCCCCTGAATGGGCTCTCTCACTGGTCGGTTACTCAATAGGGCGCAGGCCTTATTATGAAGCTCTCTTGGCCACCATGAAGAAGACATGGAACCTGAAGGGTACCCTTTCCCTTCTGACTTTAGATGATGGATTTTTCCTCTTGAAGTTCAATAATCGCGAAGACTACGACATGGCGTGGTCCGGCGGACCTTGGTTCTTTTTCGGGAAACCTTTCATCCTGCAGCGCTGGACGCCGGAGTTTGTCCCCAAGCGAGAGGAGTTCCCTTCAATACCGCTATGGATAAAAATCAAAAACTTCCCTCTGTCTTGCTGGACTCCAGAAGGAATTTCGAGGATCGCAAGTTGTGTGGGTGTTCCTTTGGCTGTTGATGCCTTAACGGCTGCAAAGACCAGACTAACCTTCGCCAGAGTATGCGTTCAGGTTAGCAGCTCCTCCCCCCTGCCGGATGAAATATATTACACTGTGGACGGTAAAACCTTTCCTCTTACTGTTCTCTATGATTGGAAGCCCGTCCCATGCACTTTCTGTAATTCTATCATGCATTCTCAATCCTCTTGCTCTAAAAATCCCAATCCTGCAGCAACCGAACCCCCTTCTACTCGGGGCAGAAGTTCCAGCAGGAAGCCTCGCAATGCTCCACCCCCCCGTCTTACCATTCCAAGACCCCCAATACCCACGGCCTCCCAGCCTCCTCCCTCAACCATCACCGACCAACCCCCGCCAACCAACACTTTCCATAACCCGACAACTATTCCACCTCCTCACACTGCTCTGCCCAACCTCAACTCTCCATCCACGGAGTCTTCCGATTTACCATCCTCCTCTCCGCTGCAAAGCGCCAAATTTCCTCAATCCAATTCCAATTCCTCCCCTCCTATTTTGAAATCCCCTCCTGTCTCTACCACAAACAAATTTTCGGCCCTTTCAGACCAAGACAATCCCACGACCAGCATGTCGACTTCTTTGAACACCTCCACTTCTAATGATCTAGGTAATGTTGGGATGCCTCCTAACATTGCTGGTAACTCATCTATTGCAAATGACAAGCCCCCTCCCACACAGCCACCTGCCTCAAATGCTCTGTCCAAGGCCACAAGAGGAAAATCGGCCAAGAAGGCCTCCACCCCCACTTCGAAATCTCAATGACCAGCCCTCCTATGATGGCGGCGTGGAATACTCGTGGGTTCAACAGCCCAGACAAAACTTTATGCTGCAAAAAACTTGTTAATACTTACAACCTTGACCTTCTTTTTATTTTGGAAACTAGAATTTCCTCACCCAACACTAGCAACAAGTGGTTCCTTTCTTCACATTCCATATTCCCCCACGAAGGCTCTTATGACAACTTTGCTTTTGCTACTCCCGGCCGTATCTGGATTAAGTGGAATTCTATGAATGTGAGCTTCAAACCGGTTTTTACGTCCAGTCAGATGATTCACGGTCAGGTTTTTAAGGGTAATGCTGACCCTCTTTTGGTTACGGTGGTTTATGCATCAAACTCGATGGTTGAAAGGCAAAATCTGTGGAAGGATTTACTGGATATTGCTGATGGTATTACTTCCCCTTGGATTATTCTAGGGGACTTTAACTGTTGCCGTCACATAAATGAAAAGGCTGGGGGTACTTTGCTCACAAATTGTAAGGTTTCTGATTTCAACAATCTGATCTTTAACATTGGTGCTCATGATCTTTCCTCTGTTGGGCATTTTTTCACTTGGTTTAACCAACGTACTGACAATCCTATCCATATTAAGCTGGATAGGATGCTGGTTAATGATGCTTGGCTTAAGGCTTTCCCTAGTTCTTATTATTTGGTGGATGATCCTCAGATATCCGACCATTCTCCTATTATTTTACATAATGGCCCCAATATCCAGCACAAGCATAGATTCTTATTCAAGAACTACTGGGTTAATATTCCTGAATTTTGGGATGAACTTTTCTCTGTGTTCTCCCAAAAATTTCACAGCAGCCCGATTCATTCCTTTTATCAGAAGCTCAAAACCCTTAAGCTCAATATTAAATCTAAGAGATGGGTCTCCTCCAATGCTTTACACTATGAAATTGCTGAGCTCAATTCCACCCAAAACTACATTCTGAGGCAAATTCATGATACTCCCCTTGAGCATCATCTTAATCTGGCTTTGAAGGAGGTTAACAACAAGCTTCTTGAGAGAAATTCTAATTGGTCTGCTTGGGTCATTCAAAGAGCTAAGGCTAAATGGTTAACATGTGGGGAAGATGATCTTAGGTTCCTCTATTCGAGACTTAATGCTAGGCATAACACCAACCTTATCAAAAGTATCACCACCTCTGAGGGAACCTTCTCCGATCCTGCCGAGCTCAACAATGCCATTATCAGACATTTTCACAAGCTCTTCAATACTACTCTTCCCCCTCACACTGACAATGGGAACGCTCCAATTATTCTATCTGTTCCGGACTTTTATGCTTCCCAACTGGTTGCTCCTGTCACCACTGATGAAATCAAGCAGGTTATCTTCTCTGCCCCCAATCACTCTGCTCCGGGTCCAGATGGTTACACCTTTGAATTTTATAAATCCACTTGGCATATTACGGGCAAGCAACTTTGTGACGCTATTTTATCCTTTTTTAATACGGGCACTATGCCTAAGCACGCCAAAGCCACTGCTCTTGCCCTGATTCCTAAACGTCCTCATGCTCAGGATATTGCTGATTATAGACCTATTTCCCTTTGCAACACCTTTTACAAAATCATTGCTAAAATCTTAGCAAACAGGATGAAAGATGTTATGCCGTATATTATACATCCTAGCCAATCTGGATTTATCAAGGATAGAATTATTACTGATAATATTCTGCTTGCGGATGAGATGCTCAAGGAATTCAATCAGAAAGGGAACCAAAAATATTTCTGTGCCAAATTTGATATCCATAAAGCGTTTGATACGGTGTCTAGAGATTTCTTGCTTAAGCGGTTGACTGATAAGGGATTCCCAAATGCTTTTGTTTCTTGGATTAAAGGGTGCATAACTGATGTACATTTTTCTATCTCTATTAATGGTGCTCTTAAAGGCTACTTCAATTCGTCATCTGGCTTAAGGCAAGGGTGCCCTCTCTCACCCTACCTCTTTTGCATCGTTATGGACAGTCTTTCTTCTTGCTTTGAGGAGGCCAACATTAATAACACTTTTCAAGGGCTTCAAGCTGGTAATGAATCCTTCTCCCATCTCCTATATGCTGATGATTTGTTGGTTTTTGCTAAGGCTAATGTTACCAATGCCCTTTCCCTCAATGAGATTTTAGAGAGATTTGCTAACTTCTCTGGCTTGAAAGTGAATAGCAATAAAAGTAGTATTCTTTTCTCTAAGAATACTCTCTGTGATCAAGAGATTTCTAGCACTCTAAATATTCCAATCTCGTATGATCCTATTAAATATCTTGGTCTTCCTATATTCAGCAAGAAACTCAAAGTTTGTGATTTTCAACCCCTTTTATCTAGAATTTCAACTTCCCTTGACGGTTGGAAAGCTAAGTCTCTCTCGATCGCTGGTCGTTTGCAATTTTTGAAGTACACCATATTTAATATTATTGCTTACTGGGTGCGCAGCTCTCTTATTCCTAAAACCTGCATTAAGAAGATTAATTCATTATGCTCTCGGTTTCTGTATTATGGTGACATTCATAAGAAGAAGCTCCACTTGATTTCTTGGAAAAATACATGTGCTCCCAAAGATGCTGGTGGGTTGGGAATTCCAACTATTGAATCACTGTACTTTGCTTTTGGCTGTAACACTATCTGGAGATTCTTTAATATTGAGGGTTTATTGTTCAACTGGTGGAAAGCCAAACATTACTCGTTCTGGAATTTCACGATCCCTAAGAGCTCTATGTATTGGCATTTCCTATGTGATGTTGCAAAAACTTTTAGGCAGAACTTGACTCTTAACATAACTGCCTCCAGCAAGCTTTCCTTT